GCCGCGGCCCTCAGAAGATGGGGAGGAAGTATCATCACTATAATCATTGTATCACTACAAACTCACCATGTATGACGAGTTGGTGTGTTTTGACCTCCTGCTGTATTCTTACTGGTGCTAAGTTGTCCCTTTGGGCCAGTGGAAGCCTCTTCAAGCTGACTTCCGTGTTCTTTTACCCTCTAGGTCAGTGATGGCGAACCTATGACACGCGTGTCAGAGGTGACACGCGAACTCATTTTTTTGGTTGATTTTTCTTTGTTAAATGGCATTTAAATATATAAAATACATATCGAAAATATAAGTCTTTGTTTTACTATGGTTGCAAATATCAAAAAAATTCTATATGTGACACGGCACCAGAGTTAAGTTAGGGTTTTTCAAAATGCTGACACGCCGAGCTCAAAAGGTTCGCCATCACTGCTCTAGGTCCATCCATGCTGTCGCAGATGGTAAGATTTCATTCTTTTTATTGCCGAGTAACATTTCATTGTATATATGGACCACAGTTTTCTTTATCCACTTGTCTATCGATGGGCACTTGGGTTGCTTCCATATCTTGACTACTGGAAATAATGCCATAATGGCACTTTTTTCATTTTTTAATTTCAAGGGTTGGGTTTGTTTTTTGTTTTTGTTTTTTGGTTGGTTGGTTTAAGATTAGTGATTCTCTGCTGCTATTTCCTTGTATATGGTAAGTTTTTAGCTACAATTTTGAGATGATTGAGATGTACTTGAGGTGCATGTGTTTTTTTGAATTAGTGTTTTGGGTTCTTCGGATACATACCCAGAAGTGAATTTGCGGGGTCATTTTTAATTTTTTTAGGGTTGTCCTTAATGTTTTCCATAATGACTGCACCAATCTGCATTCTCACCAACAGTGCATGAGGGTTACCTTTTCTCCACATCCTCAGGGACACTTGTCGTTTGCTGAAACTTCTTTTGACATGACCTTGATGATCTTCAATGGCTTCCCTGACCTCTGGGTAGACCAGATGTTCCAGGCTCACCTTGTACATTTCCTGCCCTGGCCTGGAACCACAGTTTCTCCAAGTAGCCTTGGCTCCTTCTAGCGAGAAGGTGCATCTAAAGGTGCTCACTGCCACCTCATGGGTTTTTAAAGGCATCTTCAGTGGAGAGAGTTAATGTGTCTTTATATTAGTGTTGGTTACCCTTATAATGCCTGCCCCTTTATATGCAGGCCTGTGGCACTGTCCTTTTGCTGGCTTTAAGGACGCACATGGCCACACTGGTGGCTTCCAACAGACACTTGAACTTGAAAAGGGATCATTTCCCAGTTTAGCCCTCAAATGCACCTGGATTGCAGTGTGGTGAGGCCTGAAGCAAAGAACCCAGCTCAGCTGTGCCCAGATCCTGACCAACAGTTATTGTGAGCTAATAGATGTGTGCTGTTTAAGCCGCTAAATTTGTGGTCGTTTGTTGTGCAGCAATTGATAACTCATCCAGTAACTATACACTTCATTGGGTTTTCCTTTCAAATTGCAAAAGAGATCCATGATGGAAGCAACAAGACAAGTACCCTGAGAGTAGGGCCTGCCTGGAAGTTCACACAGCAACGTGACTATGCCGAGATGTGCCCTCTGAAGTGAAATTTAACTTGTTGAATCAACTGTGTAGCCTCCAGCTATGTCCCATGAGCTAAAATAAATGAGATGGCAGGAAGGAGAAGCGTCAGAGGAGACTCAAAGAGAGGAGGTGCCCAGGATCCCTGCCACCTAAACTGCACCTGCCTCCTTTTCACCCCAAGAGGAGACAAGGAAGAGCTCCCAGGCGACCCAGCCTGGGGAAGAGGGGACCCGAACACCCCTCACCACCAAGGTCTATAATTCTGTTAACTGCTCAAATTAGACAGACAGCACTTCCTGCTCACCCAGCCAGAGACCGGAGGCTCCCAGCTGCGTGGGTTGGGCCTTAGAAGTCCTGGCTCTGGAAGTTCTGGCAAAACCACAGTCTATGCTTTCCCAACCAGCAAAGGGATGGGTCTGGGATGTGCTCACATCCACTGGGGAAGAAGAGCATGCCCGCTCCTTGACTTCACTCAGCCACAGGCTTCCCTCACCCACCTTGTGTCCCTTCCGCATCCATTCACACCCCTGGGGACTAGGAATCTCCTGTAGGAGCCCTGCTGTATGACCAGTTAGTGGGCAAAGCCATGTTCTCCACATGGTAGGATGACAACTGGCCAAAGGCAGCAGTGGGCACAGCATGGAGGTCAGGGGGACATTATGTATATCCACAAGAAAGGAGGACAGCAGGATCAATAAAATGGGTTCAATCAGTGCCTCCTAAACCTTAGAGGCCAAAACTTCTCCTGGAGAGCTTGTGAACAGATTCCTGGGCCCCACTCACAGAGAGTCTGATTCATAAGATGTGGCGAGGCCTGAGAATCTGAATTTCCATCAAGTTCCCAAGAAATGCTGGCTCCACTGGTCCAGGGACCACACTTCCAGTAGGAAGGGGTTAAAGGATAGATGAGGAATGGATGAATGAATGAATGAGACTCAGTACTGAGCCCATCACTTCCGCAGCACTTCAGGCATGCCTTGGATAGAATAGAAATAGTGCATATAGCATATATACACACAATCACACACCTGCACATGTGTGCACACACATGCTCACATGCAGAGGCACAAATGTAATGCTTTTCAACCAGATTCACAGGAATACACAGACACATGAACATACAACATGCAAGCAAAGAGACACAGATACACAAACAATATACACTTACATACGTAGACGTCCATATAGGCAGAGATACATGTGCACAAATGTATCAGTCAGGGTTCTCCGAGAAACAGAACCAATTGGGTATGTGTGGGTGTGTAAAGAGATTTACTATAAGGAACTGCCTCCCACAACTGTGGAGGCTAAACGGTCTGACCAGGAAAGCCAATAGCATAGCTTCAGCTTGAGTCCCAAGGCCTGCGAAGTGGAGCCCATTCCAATCCGGTGTCAGTTCCAATCTGAGTCTGAGTCTGAAAGCAGAAGACGGACTTCCTGGTTTGAAGACGTCAGACAGAGAATTCTTTCTTGTGTGGCCTTTAATTCTACTCAGCTGATGGGGTGAATCCCACCCACAATGGGAGGGCAATCGCTTTGCTCAGCGCACAGATTCAAATGCCAGTCTCCTCCCAGAACATGCTCGCAGACACACCCAGAGTCACGTTTAACCAAACATCTGAGCACCTTGTGGCCCAGTCAAGCTGACATATAGAATTAACCATTACAACATGCTTACACAACTACACACTCATGCACATAAGCACATACACACTCATTTTTACACACTCAGGAAAACACTCACTTTCAAACCATATCAAGACTGAAACAAAGATAGACTCCTGGACACACAGGCATACACACAGACACACACATCTACATATATGACACTCTCCACACACACACATACACACACACACACATGCACACTTTCCCTGGAGGACCCTCTAACCATGCCAGTGTGACATCAGCTCCTTCCTGCCACCCATTTTGTGATGGAATGAGGGCCTCCCTGTACCTTTGTTTCCCCACAAGCTTGAGAGGGGCAGGGCTAGGGACGTGGAGGACTGTTCCCCACACTCACAGACCAAAGGGCCAAAGCCGGGAAAGACAGTGGCTCAGTGGCCGAGGAAAGTCCCAAACTGCCCTGAGCCTTGCCCAATGCTTCTGAAAGCAGAAACAGCCCACAGCACCAACAGCGAGCACGCAGGCCAAACTGCCACCCATGTTGGGCAAACACCGAGTTGTGTTGCACTTTCCTCCAGCCCAGTCCCTGGCCGGGAACGAATCCCAGACATGGCACATGAGATCAGGGCACAGAGCTTGGCAAGCAGACACCACCCTGGAGTCCTCACGCACAGCTGCTGACAGCCAGAGGGTGAGAGGTCAGCACTGGCAGGGCCGGCCCAGCAGAGCACACCGGCTGCCTCACCCCCCACGGTTTACCAAATGTCACCACACACCACGTACTGTGCTAATCACGCTTTGCTGATAACAGTCCTCGGGGCAGCCAGGAACCTGGGGACTCCAACAAGTTAGATGGCTTGCCCGAGTCACACAAACCCAGAATCCAATAGAACCCATCTGGACCCATCAGGGGCAGAGCTTCCCCTGGATGGTGTTAACATGCAAGTTCTGGTTCAGAGAGTCTGCCCGTCCAACCACCTGTCCCCTGGGGATGCGTTACACGCACTGTCCAAGTGGCACTGGGAGCACGGAGGCTCGGGCATCTCCTGCATTGCCCATGAACCGCCCAGACAGCTGGCTCCACCCAGGCCTGAGCATTAGCACTGAGAAAGTCCTAAATCCTCACCTCAACCCTCGCAGAGGGGACTGCAGCATAGAGCTGCCCCACACCTAAGGCCACCTGGGTTTAACACTCAGAGCTGGATTTAAACAAACTCGGGCCAGTTGGCTCCAGAGCCCCAGTCCTAGTTGCCGAGCTGGCAGGTAAGCGGGCACTCTGCCGGGGCTAGAACCTGTGGCCACACTGTGCTTTCTCCTCCTTCACCAGCCCTGAGCCAAAGCCAGGCCGCGATCCATCCGTCAGCGCACACTGCTCCTCTCCCGCTTCCAGGGCAGAAATCACCAGAGGCAGCCTGCGCCCGACCACATCCATCCTCTGAGACTGCACTCAGCAGCTGCTTCCCGCATGCAGGCCTGCCCACTTCCGGGCAGGCGGTGTCCACTCAGCCAGCAGGCGGGCAGTCTGCAGGGGCCATTCAGACCTCAGAAAGGGGACCTGAGAAGTCGGTTTGCAGAAGGAAACCCACGTGATTCTGCTTCTGAAAATCCCTAATTTTTTTTTTAATGCAATGTCTCTTCTGGGTGTTTCGAGGGTAGGAGACAGAGGTGGTTTGTTCACAGGTCTCATTCTCTTCCCCCTCCCCTCGCAGAAAAAAAAGAATCATCACGCTTTGGAAACTTGAATAAAGGAAGTGGTTGACGGTGTAGCCGATAGAAGTGGAGATGAACAGCTTCTGGTCAAATGATTTAGCAAGAAACTACCACCCCTGCCAGTAACAAGGCAGGCAGCCCCCTCTGGGCGGGGCAGTTTGCAGGGTCCCCCAACATGTGCCCCAGCACCTCCCCCAGGGCCCACAGCCAGCACTGCCTTCCCCGAAGCTATGCGGCCAGCCTGGGCGCTGCTTGCCTTGGGCAGCCTGGTCTTGAGCGCCACGGGGGACCTGTCCCCAGGTAAGTGGAGGGTGTCCCCTGGGTTCTGCCTCCCTCGGACACAATGCCCAGACTGCTGTAGGAGCCAGGTGCCATGAGCTCCTCTTCCCATGCCCAGGCCCCGAAGCACAGTCCTGTTTGGGCAGCCCTAGCAGGTATGGCTGCGAGGCCGAGGACCCAGGGCTGGCAGCAGCTGCCTTCCAGAGGTCCCAGGGGTTCCTGCCTTCCAAGGGGTCCTAGGGGTTTGGGAATAGGGTTTAGTGCCACCTGGAGATGAGGGAAGACTTCTGTTCTCGGCTGCTCCCTGATCCAGGGGAGGCTCCTCATGCCCCTCCGTGGGGACAGAGGAATGGGTGTGGGCAGGCAGTTTCTACCTGATGGCCAGCCGTTCCTGCCTGCTGGCTGCTGCCCTGTGACTTGGCTCTAGGGACCTGATGATCAGACACTGTCACCCTTCCTGCCTGGCCAGCGCTGGGGAGAGGGGAGGAAGAGAAGGGTAGCCTTTGCTCCTGGAAACTGAGGCACAGCTAGGGTTGGCAACTTGCCCCCAGTTCACATGGCCAGGGAGCCCCTGCCTACACACACACACACACACACACACACACACACACACACACACGGAGTTGAAAATGCCTTCCCAGCACCAGAAGCATAGGCCACTAGATCAGTGGTTCTCAACCTGTGGGTCGCGACCCCTTTGGGGGTCGAATGACCCTTTCACAGGGGTCGCATAAGACCATCGGAAAACACATATAAAATTACATATTATTTTTGTGATTAATCACTATGCTTTATGTTCAGTTTGTAACAATGAAAATGCATCCTGCATATCAGATATTTACATTATGATTCATAACAGTAGTAAAACTACAGTTATGAAGTAGCAACGAAAACAATTTTATGATTGGGGGTCACCACAACATGAGGAGCTGTATTAAAGGGTCGCGGCATTAGGAAGGTTGGGAACCACTGCCATAGATGATGGTGAAGACCTAGAGGCCCCTGTCTCACCTCCTTTAGCCACCGAGGAAGCTGGTGCTGGAGGCCGGGATGACCTGCTCCGGTCACAGCCACTGCTTGGGGAGCAGGGGCAATGCCCAGGCGGAGGCTGGTTCCTGCCCTCCGTGTTCTTCAGGGGGGGCTGGAGCCTGGCCAAGGACACCAAGTGGGGGGTGTTCAGGCAGGACCAGTACAAGGGGCCAGCCCCAGTGCCTCTCAATCCATGGAGGGGTCACCCCCCTCCTGGTGACACTGTCTCAGGGGCTATGGAAACAGGTTCCCCTGCCTCCTCCTGCTCCCAGAGCTTCATTCTTAGCTCACACAGTGAAACCCTCCCCACCCGCACCCCCGCTTTCCAGCCTGTCCTGATTGGGTGCCACTGTCTTCCTGTGCCCCCCTAGTGCCATAGGAGGGGACAAGCCAGGGGGAGGAAAGGGGGTGCTCAGACCAGAGAAGCGCACTCCTCAAACCTTAGTGAGGGGACCTGTGGAGGGATGTGGTCCCTGCCTTTCAGCTGTATGGATGCAGTTATTCAGAACACATGTAAGTTCCTTCTGCTTGCCTCAGTGTCATCCCCTACAGAGCAGGGACAGGTCCAGGATGCATGGGGAATCCTTATCCTAGTCTTAGTGCCCTATCACCAGAGTTGCCCCCTCTGCTGGTGTTTCCTACTAAACAGAGCCCTCTCCATACACTCCCCTCCCCGCCACGCTGCGCCTACCCCTCCCTGCCAAAGCCCTGCTCAGCCAGCCCGGCCAGCCCCTTAGACCTGCTCTCTGCCACCAAGCCCCAGGCAGAGTGTTTAGAGTTCACACTCACACGCAGGCCTCGGGACACGCAGACTCCCTGAGCCTGGTAACTGTGGAGCCTGGAGCCTCCCTAAGCGTCAGTCTCTTGACCCATGAAATGGGTCAATAACCCAGCCCCTTGGTCCCTAGCGAGGCTTGACTGGCATGGACATGGAAGGCATGCTCACTGAGCCTGGAGTGCTTGCAGCCGCCCACCCCAGCCTTGCTCCTGAGTCTCTCCAGCCCGGTCCTGGCAGCCCCAGGCTGTCCCACCCCACTCACCCTACCCCAGCTTCAATCCTCTCAAGTACATCCTTCATTTGACAGATGCGGGCCTCAGAACCAGGGGCTTGAAGGCCCCTCTGTCTGGTGGTGGAACAGAGATGGGAACTCAATCCCAGGCCTGGTTCTCTCGCCCCCTCACACCCACCCTGTACCCAAGGCCCCCACAGCTTCCCCCTCAACTTCTGAGAACAGATCCCAGGGTCTTCCTGTGGGAAGGGGGGGTGACAGTTACTCTAACCCCCCTAGGGTGGCGGCACCATCTGGGAAGCTGGCTTCTCCCTAAGCGTAAGCACTAAGCTGCACTCACCTAAATGCAGAGCCCCCAGCAGCTCACCGCCACCCCCACCGCCCCCCCCCCTGCCCCGCCCCAGCCCGGCAGAATTTAGGGGAAATGAACCTGTTAGCGCTCCTGGAAAGCTGCACTCGGCCACCATGTCACACTCTGCTCTCCCCTCCTCATTTAGGTCATTTGCTACTGGTCTCCCCAGCCCTAGCTCCCTCGCTCAGCGCTCTCCCTCACGGCAGGTTACAGTCACTTTCCTGGATGGGCTCAGCCGGGGGCCTGCATCCTGCCTCCCTTCTTGTACTGTGGACTCCCTAGTCTCAGAGTCACCTTGGCATTGCCCATAGCAGCTGCCAAATGATACTTCTTGAGTGAGGAAAGGGAGAGCATGGCCTCTAGAACTAAGCGTGCTCTGCACTCCTCTGAGGCCTCAGTTTCCTCGCCTGTAGAATGGGCACCCAAGCCGCTGCAGAGCAGGCTTCCCTGCTCCCCGCCCCCTCCCCGCAGCGCAGAGGACAGCAGGCAGGCAGGTGGGGCTGACTCCGGGATGGGGTCCAGGGACCTGTTTGTCTTCTTCCCTGAAGGGGAGTCGCCTCTTCATGATCAGCCCTTCTGTTAATTTCTCTTGAGTCATCCTAAAACTGGTGTGACTTTTCAACTTTTTTTAAAATTAAAAAAGGAGCTTTTATTGTTTGTTTGGACCCCTGTGATGACTTGAAACTGACATTTTAGGAAACATGTAGCTAACTAAAAATAAAGCAACTTCAATATTTTCCATAACTTTTTTCTAACTTTACCAAAATCACTTAGAAACTAACATTACATATTCATCTGAGGTTCAGCCTCACCTGATTTCACTTCACTGTTTTAATTCTGCTAAATTCAAGCAAAATTAAATGTAATACATTTTATTTATTTATTTATTTTTTTTAAAAAAAAAAAAAACAGTTAAAGTGGTTACCTTGGAGAGTTTGGGATATATTTTTGTTAAACTGTTCTGTATTTTTCAAATTTCCTACCCCAAATAGGTAAGCTTATAATCAGAAAAAGCAATGGCTGTATTAATCCACGGCGGGGGGGGGTGGGGGGGGGCGGGGGGGGGGCTGGGGACCATGCAGTAACTGGAAACTGCTGTGTAGACTTCAGTGATGAGCAGAACGCAAGCTCCTTCCCCAAACAGTTCTTGTCAAAACCGAGAGTCAGTAAGCACAGCCCCCAGGAGTAGCGTCCCCACCTTGTTAGCATCAGCGTGCATGGGCGTGGGAGCCACGTGGGGAGCCGGGAAATGAAGGCTCTGGGCCTGACGCAGCCTGAGCAGCCCAGCTCCTGGAGCTCAAGGGACAGAAACAGTTTTCATGCTTCAGTCTTCAGCCCCTCAAGTGAGGGCTTCGGCTCCTGTGAGGATGTCATTTGAGGGCTGGACTATTGCAAGGCAGAACCTCAGGGACGCTGTGTGGAACGAGTGGGGGAGCTCACGGCAGCAGAAATCTCTAAGCCGGGAGCCTGTGGGGTTGGCGCTGCTGCTGCCCTCACACCCCCTCTCCACTTCCTGTTGCTTGGGCACCCCTGCCACATGCTAACCCTACCTACCTCTGCAGGACCCAAGGCCCTGCCGGCCCAGATGGCAGTCACCACCACGTGTGGCTACAGAGCACCTGCCACCAGCTGGGCCACCGAAAAGCTGAACTTGACACCATTTAATATAGCGAATGAAATAAAATTTGTGCCTGGGCCGTTGCCAGCCTGTGGTGTGGCATGCTAATTTTTCAGGAACATCTGGGGAAAGTCTTAGTAAAGAGAAGTTCACAGACCTAAAAAGCTTCTTCCCACACTCCCTCCCTCCTGGTTTATTTAGATTTCCCCCTAAAACTTTTAACTTTTCAATATACAAGCAGTACATGACCACTGCAGTAAAACTGACAGATTCACCAGGAGCCAGCAACCAGAAAAGGCCATGTTCACGTTGCAATTCACACAGCCTGTGGGTTTTCACATTCCCATGTTCTTTATAATAAAAGCCAATGTTCATAGCCTGGATTAGCACACACCCCCACCGGGCCAGCCTGGCCTCTGAGCATTTCTCCCCACGCCTCCTCGCTTTGGAGCGAGCCCTGGAACACCTCTGCCCCGCGGCCCACGCTCAGGCCCTCCATCCGGATCCGTGAAAATGGCTCAGCCCGACCTGCTCTCTGCGGACAAATCCCTGCACAGCTCCTCCCTCTCCTCACTCGCTGCTCTGAGGTTTTTCTTGCCTGTTTATTTGCGGAGCATGAGCTCCAGCGAACATAAGCTTCTGCACCCCCTGCACATGCGGGATGAAGAGGGCTCAGCCCGTGGGGACTGAACCAAGGAGTGAAGTCAGGTTCTTCTTCAGGGAGGAGCCTCGGGTCCGCCTGGGCCTGCTGCTGTGGGGGCTGGGAGAGGAGGATGTGGGGAGCCGAGGAGGGTGGCGGGGTCCCTGGTTCTGCCTGGCTGCCAGAGGCTGGGGTGTGGTGGTAGGGGAAGCCCCCCAGGTTGCTTTCCCCACCTTTTATCCAAACATGGGCCTCCTTGGGACAGGAAGTCCAGTCCTCCCTCCCTCCCTCCACCACTGCCAGCTCCATAAAGGAGCCATGTGCGATGAAGTCACCCAGGCCTGGCCCTGTCCTCAGACTTGTACCCGAAACAGTGCAGAAAGAGGCAGCAAGGTGAGGAGCACCAGGTGCTATGGTGCTGCCTGGGGAACGGGGCCCCTAGGAGCGAGGCCTGGAAGCTGGGGAGATGCTAACAAGAGCCCCGAGGTGGAGGAAAGCAGCAGCCTCCTTGTCGGTGAGAAGGCGGGACCAGCCTTGGGCACTTCCCTGTGGTCCACTTGTTGGAGACAAGCTGAGGGGTCGGGGCCAGATGTTGGCCTTGAAGGACAGCTGGAGCGACTTCTCCTGACACCCTGAGGCTACATCCTGTCCCGAGGCTCTGCCACCTCCAGACATGTTCAGGGTTTCTTTAAGACGCATTGGAAATAACCCTGGGTTCTGAAGGGGGCTGTGTGGGCAGGGACAGGAACTGTATCTAACCCATCATCGTAACACCCACCTCGCCTGGTCCTCAGGGCAACCATGGGGATTCACAAGAATTGCACTGGGGGGGTTGTGGAGGGGAGGGGCTGGATGGGCCAGGGAGGGTGGACAGGAGAGCAGAGGGTAGGTGGTGAGGGGAGGATGGATCGGTGAGGGGAGGGCAGATAAGTGACGAGCTAGACAGGCTGGGGACCACACTGGGAGCAGAGAGAACTGAGCACCAAGGTGTGAAGACCCTGGACCAAGGGCCCCATTAACAACAGTGTTCTTGTCTGGTTCTGTGTTTCTCTTTCAGATGTTTGTTCCCAGACCTTTAACTCAGGTGTGAAGCCGGGATTTCCCAAAACAATCAACACCAACAACCCAGGAGTCCTCAAAGCAGCCAGATACAGTGTTGAAAGGTTCAACAACTGCACGAATGACATCTTCTTGTTCAAGGAGTCCCATGTCAGCAGAGCCCTGGTCCAGGTGAGCATCTAGGTGCTGGTGGCCAGCATCTCTGGGGCCAGGCTGCAGAGGCTCCTACCCCACAGGGGCCCACCGTCCAGCGCCCTGGTCATCTAGAACACAAAACAGGCCAGGAGGCTGGCAGTGGCAGCCACAGAGAGCCTACAACCAGGCCACCAGTGTCACCAGACTTGAACAAAAAGTCCGGGACCGTCTCTTATGGAAACCAACTTCTTCAGGGTAGAGCCACTGGGAGTAGCACAGAGGTGGGCTGGGGTGGAACGGGGACTAGACGTGAGCCTGCTGAAGGCTTTGGGTGGGGAGAAACCAGAAGCTGGGCATCAGGAACCAAACTGATGAAGATGCTGCCCCTTGGAGGGGCCTACTGCCCCACCTGCCACAGTTGCCCCGGCCTAGGGCCCCACCCCTGCCTCACCCCCTCATCAGAGCCACAGCCCCATAGCACCTTTTGACGTTCTCCACCTGGGACTTATTTCACATATGAGCTTTGCCCAGAATGCACCCCCTCCCCCACACACAAACCCGTCCTCCACCAGCCTTGCCTCAGTGTCACACCCTGTGAAGTTGTCACAGGATGGCTCAGCCACCTCCCACCTAGAGGGGACTCTACAGGGCAGAGCCAGGTCTTGCTCATCTGTGTCCTGAGGACACAGGGTCAGCTTGGGATAAGGGATGCAGAATAGTGATGAGCCACAATGACGACGTGGCTGCCCACGTCTCTGCCTTTCCTGAAACCAGGGATACTGTACAGCCACTCAAAGGGAAGTTCCCGGCTGTGGGAAGCTGGCTTTTGGACAAAACCCACACATTCCCATGGGTTTGGTGGTGCGTGAAGGAGGAAAGATGCTGCCAGTTTGTACATAACTATTAATGGTTGGTTACCTTGGGTCACATAATTATAGGTGATTTTTACAACCGTGTTTATTCTTTTGGAAAATTGCAAACTTTTTAAGAGCAGTGTATTTTTTTTAAGATTTTTAAAATTGATTTTCAGAGAGAGAGGAAGGAAGAGGGAGAAAGAGAGAAATATCAATGCAAGAGCGAAACATCAATCTGCTGCCTCCGGTACGCCCCCTACCAGGCGTGTGCTCTGACCGGGAATGGAACCGGCAACCTTTCGGTGCCTGGGATGACGCCCAACCAACTGAGCCACGCTGGCCAGGGCGAGCAGTGCCTTTTTATACTTAGAGAAGCATTTTCTAGAAGGCAGTCTGGTGTGGGGAGGGTTTTTAATAAGGTTTCCATGGAAAGAGTCCGAGTGTCATCACTCCAAGGACACAGCTCCGGAGACTGTGTGAGGCCTCCTGCAGGACCACTGCGAGTGCAAGATGCCCAGAGCCGAGTGCCCGAGCCTTTGGGGGCAGGGGTGCATTATCCCTCTGTGACGCTGGGGACTGGATTTCACTTGGTACGTGGTGGGGCGAGACCAGGTTGCTGCCACATCCAAGTGAAGAAAGGCTGTAACTGAAAAGAAAATGCCCACTCTGTTGCCAGGAATGGTGAGGAGCCAGCAGAAACACTGCTTGCCCTCACCCCATGTAAAGGCCACACAGGGCAGGTGACTGTGGGTGACTGGGGCATGGGAGGGGGCCAGGGCAGGACTTCACCACGGCCCTGAGGCCGGGGCAGCCCCACGGCACCCCGCCTCTGCCACCCTCCTGATGCCCAATGGAGAGGCCTGGGGAGGAAGGGCTGTCCTAAGACAGGACACAGAGCCCACGTTTCGCCCCTGGAACCAAGAGCTAAGTCCCTGAGCAGGAATGAGAGGAGCGAAGAAAGGAGAGAACCGGGAGGGGCCTGGGGTCCAGTCACAGGCTTTCTTCAGCGGTTGGAGTATGTTCCACATTCCCTCTCCACCACTCACTCCCTTTCCAGAGGGCAGGGAGGGACCAGTCCCATCAGGGCACCCTCACCATCTGTCCTAAAGCCGCCCTCTGCTGGGCTGAACCATGTAACCCAGGCCCTGCCCTCTGCTCTCTTTAGATAGTGAAAGGCCTGAAATACATGCTGGACATGGAAATTGGCAGAACTACTTGCAAGAAAACCAAGCACCCCAGTCTGGACAACTGTGACTTCCAGACCAACCACACCTTGAAGATGGTAAACAAAGGGGCCTCACTCCTCAGACCCCTCCCCGCTTTCCTAGCCCCACCCCCTCGCCATGGCTCTGGGAAACACTCCTGCATCCTTTCTCTACCCCCACAGTTCCAGATTTCACTCTTGAATCCAGGTCTCCCAGTGTACAACAGGATCCTACAGACACGGGAGGCATAGAGGAGAGACCCCCTCCTCAGAGGCACATCCACATTCAGGGGCAGGTTAGAGCAAAAAAAGACCTTTCAAATAATTCAGAAATGTATATACACAAGCAGGGGGAAACCAAATGCGGCAACATTTAAGAATTTGTAACTATAGGCAAAAGTATATGTTCTTGAATTACTCTTTCAATGTCTGTAGGTTTGACATTTTTTCACAAGGACCCTCGGGGTATGGAGAGAACTCCTCAGTAAGGAAAACGCACAAGCATGCACACACATGTGCACGCACACACATGCATGCACACACAGGCGGCAGCACTGGAAACTGCAGAGCTGCAAGTGGCAGCCTCGGCGAGGCGGTGGTCCCTGCCTGTGGCAGGCAGCGCGATTCTTAAGGTGCCCTTCTTTGTTTCAGATCCTCAGTTGTTACTCTGAAGTCTGGGTCATCCCCTGGCTCCAGAGGTTCGAGGTGCCCGTTCTCCACTGTCACTGACTGCCTCTCAGCAATACCACAGCTGCTGGCACTTCTGAAGTAGTATCTCCCGGCAAGCAGAATGGAAGTGCCCACGGGCTCATTACAGAGTAACTGGGATGGAAGAGTGACCGCCCCACAGTTAAAATAAATACTTCGAATTCTCTCCTAAGCTAATTCTGCTGATGCTGTGTGCCTGGATTCAGAGTCTGAACATACAGGACTAAATCCTCCAGTGGAAATGTTCTGGGCTCTCAACTCCTGAAGGAGCCCCTCCCACCCAGGCCCTGGGTCCCCGATGCAAGCCCGAGATCTATCCTTTCGCCTGAATACTTGCACACTGGACGAAGGGATTCAGCTGCTATTGAGCACCTTGACCTTTCATCAATGAAGTTATAAATAAACATGAATAAGAACTGACCATCTCAAAGCAATGGCTGCTGCTTTACCTGTTACAGGGTCTCAGGAAGGTGAGGTGGGCGGTGAGGGGCCCCCTCACTGAGAGCCTGACCGGTCCAGGTGACTTCCACAAAGTGTCCAGGGCTTTCCAGCCTTTAGTCCATGAACACAACATACAGGAGACCAGAGAGCCAGAACCAGGCCAGCCTATGTCCATACCATGAACCGGCAGGGTAGGGGCACCCCAAGAGGGCGTCCACCTGCCAGCTGTGCTTCCTTCTGACAGGGGATGTCCACTCAATCCTCTCAGCTGCCTTAGAGACTCAGCAAATGCACAGCTGTGTCTGGACAAGTGGGTATAACAGGGTGCTGGGATAATATCCCACACATCCCCACTCAGGAGGAGCATCCCCCACAGAGATTCACCTAAGAGAGGGGGTACCCACACCCACAGACTCACCCAGAAGGGAGAGCACCCCCCCACACAGACTCACCAGGACAGGGAGCATAGCCTCACCCAGGGGACAGAGACCCACACACACAGACCCACCCGGGAGAGGGAGTTACCCCCCCGCCCCACAGACCCACCAGGACAGGGAGCACCCCTACACACAGACCCACCAGGACAGGGAGCACCCCTACACACAGACCCACCAGGACAGGGAGCACCCCCACACACAGACCCACCCAGGAGATGAGACCCCCACACATAGACCCACCCAGGAGATGAGACCCCCACATACAGACCCACCCAGGAGAGGGAGCACCCACACACACAGACCCAGCAGGAGAGGGAGACCCCCACACACAGACTTACCCAGCAGAGGAAGCACCTACACACACACAGACCCACCACTGGGGGCACAGGAGGAGACCACCCAGGGTCCGTGTAAGACAGGCCTCGCGCTCGCACTGGAAGGGTGTAAGACTGGACCGCAGAGGAGGAGCCCAGGACATGCCACAGGCTGAGAGCCCTGAGGCTTCACTCAGAGAAGATGCCCCCAGACACCCCGCGCCAGTAAGCCTGGTGCAGATGCAGGCCCCCCTTTGGAAATTCTACCTCCCAACGCCTTCTTCAAACTATGGGCTGGTACAAAATATGTTGTTGCCTTTAAAAAAAACACATGGACCTGGATCATTCACAGGAAAAAGGAAATCCGCATTAAATATGTATGGCAATTGGCACACGTCATAAACTTGATCAACGTGAATAACCAAAATAACCCACAGCTTCCTTCAGTGATGACAGAAAACTATGATTCCAAATCCTCAATGTTTTTTGCTGCCTTGATTCACCTCCTTCTGGTCATTTAATTCAGGGACACGGGGAGCAACTATGACACAAGACATTTAATTTATCCTATGATTCTAAAGGCCCCTGAAGGCAATGCTTTCATAAAGAAAAGTGAGTTCACTCAGTGCTGTTGACCCCCTACATCAGTGGTTCTCAACCTTCCTAATGCGCGACCCTTTAATACAGTTCCTCATGTGGTGACCCCCAACCATAAAATTATTTTCGTTGCTACTTCATAACTGTAATTGTGCTACTGTCATGAATCGTAATGTAAATATCTGATGTGCAGGATGTATTTTCATTGTTACAAATTGAACATAATTAAAGCATAGTGATTAATCACAAAAACAATATGTAATTATATATGTTTTCCGATGGTCTTAGGCGACCCCTGTGAAAGGGTTGTTCGACCCCCAAAGGTGTCGCGACCCACAGGTTGGCGACCCACAGGTTGAGAGCCGCTGCCCTACATGAACAAGATGGCAGGAGCACTGACCCCAAGAGCATAAGCCAGGTGGGCTTCAGAACACAGCTCAGGGGGCCTTTGTGACTTGTGCACGATAATGCAGCAAATGAGGAGGACCCCAGATTCTGAGCTCCCAGTTAGTCCTCACACTTAAGTACAGACCAGAGCTCACCAAGGCCAGGCCTGTCCTAAAATTACTCAGACCTCCAGACAGCCCCACCCCACTGGTTTAACAGGCAGGTCAGAAATGAGAATTCACACGAAGGAAGCTGTTGGGGAGAGCTGCCTTGCAGCCTCACAGCACACCTGCTAGGAGCTGCATTTGAACCCTCTTTCCCCGCCTCTCCTCCCCACCACCGCCCCTGCCCAGCCAGAAGACTTATGGGCTAACCTTCCCTCCTGGCAGGGAAGAGAAAGCCTCAAACCCCATCTCAGAACTCTCTTTGAACCCTAACGTATACCCACGATTTTCACACCACCACTTGGGTCCAGGAATTGACTGCCTCCTATAAGTTGACAAAGTCTTAGAACTATGGCAAACCAGCCAAGACAGAAGCCAGTGGACTATGTCCCCCAACCTCAGGCTTCTGCAAACCCTCCCTCCCTGAGGTCCCCAGGGCCCGAATCCAGGTAGAGAGGGGCTCTGCTTTATAATGCACCCACAGTTCTATCCCCCAACCCCAATCTGTTTTATGCAGTGTCCCTCACAGAAGTAATTGCTTGTCTTCAGATAACTCTTAAACCTCCCATGGTGACACCAGAAGGAAAGGGGCTGGGTGGCAAGCCAGGGTGAAGCTGCCTTGTAACTTGGAAATCAGCAGCTGGCGTACCTTTGTCTCCCCCAGAGCTGTGTCTACTAAACAAACCTCCGGAGACATTTTGCCCCAGCTTCCTGGAGAGCAGGCACTGCGTGCACTGACTGTGTCTGCTCCGCCCAACGTTCCCATCCTCCTAACTCTGACCACGGTGAGAGACTGTTCTCTCGGGACTCAGCACACCAAAGCGCCACCAGGGAAGGAGCCAGAGAGGCCTGCAGTGGGTTCAAACAGAGGAAACCAAGCCCCACATGGAGACAGTGTACTGACCACAGGTGGCGGATGTCAACCAGTGAACTCAAGTCCTGAACTGCAAACCCAACTCTACCTGTTTTTAAAAACTCATCAGCTTTACTCTCCTCAGAGGAAAGCTGTACCATCATCTGATGGTATTGTCATGGAGAACATGCAAAGTTAAGTGCCCAGTATTCTAAGACACACTAGAACTATGACCAAAAAGAAGCACTTTCTCAAAACCATCAAAATTCTGTCAGTCCTGTCCTAAGTGACCTAGCTTTCCCTGGCCACGGCCCTCCACCCTCCTCCCCAGGTGCCCCCAGCTCCAGACATTCACGCAACCTGGGCCTCTTGAGGTTGCAGATAAGCTCAGACTGTGATGAAAGTCTCACCAGTACCCATGGAGACCACCTCTGGAAGTGTGAACCACAATAATGCCCAGCCCACCCCAGGGAGCTGGGCAGCCCAGGGAACTCTGCCCTGCAGCCAGGATCTGACCCTCAGGCTGGGCGGTGGCCACCGCAGAGCCAGGCCCTCACGCCACCCAGCCCCGTCTCCCAGCTTCCCCAGCAGATTCCACAGTCACAGAACAGATCCTGGCTCAGTTGTGTGCTGGCTGTGACTCTAGGCAAGTCATTTACACACCAGCCTCAGCTCCTACCTGTAAAATGAGGCCCTATCTCCTTGCATCGTTAAAAGGTCTGAGTACATGAAAACACTTTCTAAACTGTAGACCATTCTGCAAGTGTATAGTCGTAATAAAAATATCAAAATGGGTCTTCTGTCCTATAAAAAGCAGTAATGAGTCATAATAGGGTTTTTATGATAGATAATAAAGAAGCACACAGTGAATGAACAACTTGATTTAATTTTAAAACCATGTTAGTAATTCACATTAGAGCAAATCCATTTTGTTTACAATAAAAGCGTATCACATATTCAAACCTAATAAGGTTATATTTTGCACTTCACCATGGCAAACTACCGAATAAAATACAGGAAATGACACTTTGAGACAAAAAGTCAACATCTAAATCAAATCAAGACTCCTTTGCTGAAAACTGTGAAAAGCAATTTACCAGCTTCTTTGTAACAGTAAAAATTAAGCACTAAAAGCAAAGCCCTTTCTTCTCATTCAAGAAGTCTACTTAACACCCAGCTGGTGTGGCTCAGTGGTTGAGCGCCAACCCATGAACCAAGAGTTCCCTGGTTCGATTCCCAGTGGGGGGTATGCTAGAGGCAGCTGATCAATGTGTCTTTCTTTGATATTTCTATCTCTCTATCCCTCCCCTTTCCTCTTTCTCTAAAATCAATTAAAAACTATTTTTTTAAAAAGACGTCTACCTCTTTAGGCCCCAAACATTTAAATTGATTTTTGTGGCAGAACGACGGGGTTTTACCCCATTATTCTTATATACTTGCTATATGGGGTACAACATTATCTATTTAAAATATTTAATAATCACTACTCAATTTCCTTTCCTGTAAAGTTACATAAATAGTAAGTCATTCATATGAGACAATACGGGTTGCACCACCTAGACTCAGGGGTGGGCAAACTTTTTGACTCGAGGCCCACAATGGGTTCTTAAACTGGACCGGAGGGCCGGAACAAAAGCATGGATGGAGTGTTTGTGTGAACTAATATAAATTCAAAATAAACATCATTACATAAAAGGGTACGGTCTTTTTTTTTTTTTAGTAGACTGAAGCCAGTCTTTGACTCGGTTCTACTGTTGCTACATAAAGCCGGCCGGAGGAGGGTGACAGAGATGAGGCCACCGCTAGACTCCGGACTTCCTTCCCCCAAAATCAGGCTGACCAGGGCATGGGCGGAGCTGGCTACACTGGAAAAGGGAGGGAAGGGGTTGGAGGCCAGCCAGTGAGACAAGACACAAAGGTTCAGATTTCACCACAGCTCTCAATCCCCTTTGAACTGTATCATTCATTACCTATTAAAATACTGTCCAATCAAGTTCTTAAAAACTATCCCAGAAGCCCAAACTGTCCTTCAGGACATTTCTTCAGAAACAGGTATCAGCCCCACTCTGTAGGTTGGAAAACAGGGAGCAGTGTGCTATCAACTTACCCAAGAATGAATTAAGGACGGAGGCAATGGCCTGAGGCCGCTGCTGCCCCCTGAGGGATCCCCAGAGGAACTGCTTGACCCTAAAACAAGACCCCAGCTAAAACGATCCTCACATCAGCA